AACTCATTCTTGACACTCCGATAACCATGTTGGGCTAACACTACACACCAGAAAGAGAGAAATAGCTTCAGAGAGGACACTCTTCTAGAGTTAAAGTCTTGGAAATGCTGAAACAGGCAACCCACCCCCTACAATATATTCCTCTATTCCAAAGACTTAACATATAATTTTGCTCCAAATACAATGCTTCTCAAGAAAGAAACAAGGAAATCTCTCCAAGTAAAAAGAAAAGCTTTTGACATACAAACACAATGTGAATATAAACTGTATCAAGTTCACATGCACAAGCATCAGACTGATTCAGAAACAAAAATCTAAAGGCAGCAACAGGAAGCTATGTGCTAGCACCGGAATACTGTACGTCAAGCTAAATTTAGAACAAAATTTAAAAGAGAAAAAAAAAAGAGAAAAAAAAAAAAAGGTTCTCAGTGCAGTTAAAATGCAATACAAAATTCCAGAGTAGGAAAGTTTTAATATGTGGAGTCTTACCCTTCCTTAAATGGAGTCCCATTTAAGATGTTAGTGTGCAGTATCTTATAAAGCAGTTTGTTAGAGGTGCCACTAGCAAAGCACTGGGTGCACCAACACCACGTAACCACTTTTACTACTGCTATTACTACCACTGATTTTGAAACAGAAACTTATATCTCCTTAGAAACTACTTACAATACAATTTCCCCCCTGCTTGCACCTAAACTATTTTTAAAGGCTCAGCCAGCTCACACCCACATGCGTGAGTCCTCTTTGCCCGCACACCTAGAGCATTCCCAGTGAAGGAGCAAAGCTCTGGAGTCACAAACTACATACTGAGCAGCCAGGGAAGCAGCTTCCCTCTGCCGAAATGGGCCTGGCAGCCCCCCATGCCAGGCCCTCCGGAGCGGCACCAGCGTCGCCTCCCAGCCCGGCTTGAGCAACCGTTTCTCAGAGCTCCATCCCCAGAGAAAACTGACTCGGACAAGCCAGCTTTTCAAGGGAATCTGCATACAGCGTACAGCACATGAGATGATTTACTCTTTGATAGCGTTTGAACTGCGGAGATGTTAACAGAATAGTCTCACGCGCATTTCTGTACCTCGCTTTCGTCATCTCCATGGAAGCTTCCTTGGGCCTGGCAAAGATGCTGCAGTTCGCAGACCCTCCGCGTGCTCCAGAGCTGCTCCTCTCGGCTAGGGCACCCCTCGCCGTTAGCTGGCCCCAGCGAAAGCTGCTCTTCTCCTCCTACGCCCACACTTCCTGCCCATCTTCTTTTCTTTTTTTTCTTACCCAACCCAGACTTCTACATTAAAAGATAGCATAAACTCCCGCGTTTTGTTTGTTTGCTTTTTGTACTGCGTTTGACAAATGGCCTCCAAATTCACCTTCTACCAATGTATTTAAGGTATCTTGTGCTTTTATAGGTTCATGCAACCCATTGCTTCAGTATCTCATATTTAATAAAAATCACTAAATTCTGATAAGTTACCATTGCACCTGGTCTAGAAGGGAAATATGCCACTTTTTAGCAAATCATGGGCTCCATCACTCAGTAGTTTCTAAATAGTATCAAACTGCTTTTATCATACATTAAGTGATCCACAAACTGGCAAATGCATATACCATTAGCTACTGTACTGTTTTCAGTGACATTTTAAACGAACAAATACAACCAGCAGAATAGTAGCACTTGTAACAAACTACAAATTTAGCTGAGCAAAAGGTACAAAAAAGCTTGAATGAATCACCTCTTAAGCTGAAATATCTACAGAATGATAGGAAAGTGATAGAAAATATTTAGTAGCTAAAAAAAAAGTCATCAGGCAAGCTAAAATTGTGTTAAAACTCCTTTGGACTTTCGGATCTAAAGCAGCAGCTAATAAAAGAATTAGTACCTTCATTACATGCATGAATAGAAAGATGAATGAGGATTTTGCTTTCCTGAAGACCTCTGTTAGTGAAACAGAAAAAAAAGCAGACTTACAAAAGCCGATGTGTAAAAAGGCAAAAAAAATCCTTTATTTTACTGCACAGTCTTCAAAACCAGTATCTACCCTCTACAATAAAGGTGAAGTTAAAAAAAAATAAAAAAGACATACTGTGAGGTGAAAATTTGACCTAATTCATAAAAAGAGTAAATCACTGAAATTGAACAGTTTCATACCAATGTGGAACTAGCACAAATAGATAAGGGAGGGCAGATGGCTCTCATTTTTATCAGATGAATATTGTGTGTGTGTGGCCATGCCATCTTTGCAGCCTTCTGTATGCTGAAAGTTTACTGTTCCCTGCCAAAAATATAACAGGCTGCTCTTCTTGAGGAAGCCCCACACTTCACATTTTCAGAGAGGTATTTGTCAGGGTCCTAGTTATTGCCAGCCTGCAGGACAGACACCAGCAGCTTGTAGCAGCAGTAAAAGTGCTCACCTTTCAGCAATATCCTTGTGCGCAATGACTCCCTAATCAGTGTAAGCCCAAAAGAGTTAAACAACGAGAGCTTTGGGAAAACCTCCTGTGATCCCTGCAAGTGTGTGTAGCTTTTTCATCACGTACCGGTTTGCGCATTTAAAAGTTCCTGGGTTATTACGCCTGGCCAACCTGCACGTATTACATACAAACGTATTAAATCACATCCAACAGACAACAAACAGTGTAAAACCAGCTGTTTGGTGGCTCAGGGCCTTTCAGGCTGCCCACAGCAGCTGCAGAGGGCTGACTGGACTTGTTGGTTTAACCCTGGGTAATTAAAAGTGGGGCCTCCACTGGCCGGGTTAGACATTAGGAAGAATTTCTACATGGAAACAGTGGTGAAGCCTTGGGAACAGGCTGCCCAGGGAAGTGGTGGAGTCCCCGTCCCTGGCAGCATTCAGGAAACGTGCAGATGAGGCGCTTAGGGACATGGTTTAGCGGGCATGGTGGTGAAGGGCTTAGGGTTGGACTCGATGATCTTGAAGATCTTTTCCAGCCATAGTGATTCTGGGATTCTAGGGTCGGTCCCCACCAGGCCACCCCAGGGCACACAGGGGGCTCTGCAGGGGCCCCGGCCTCCGCCTCCAAACCGGGAACAAAAAGTCCTCACTAAGAAAACGTCTTTATTTATTTCTAAGAATAAATTGAATGGGGAAAATAATTTAAAAAACAGGCTACGTGCCCCGGGGCGGGCCGCGGCGCTCCCGGGACGAT